CATGTCTTTGTTCCTCTGAATGAATTTCTCAGCAGCATTTGCTCAATAAACATCATATTAAAAAATATATATATATTTGTTGTCTTTTTTCCTCATGTGGTATGCATTTGGCATGCATGCCTTTTTAATGCACATTATTTGAGAGTGTGCATGGTTTACATAATATTCTTCGTAAGAGATAAGAGAATAATACTATCAACGTTCACTGCAAGTTCTGAGTGATTGCCTTTGGAAAAAAATGTCTTTAAGTTTGTTTTAAACATGGCAGCAAGTAAATTCAAAAGTGAAAAAGAACATCAACAAATGAAAAATGAAAAAAATTATCCATAAAATCATATACAAATTATATATATATATATGTACAGTTGTGGTCAGAATTATTAGCACCCCTGGTAAATATGATCAAAGATGGCTGTAAAAATAAATCTGCGTTGTTTATCCTTTTGATATTTCATTCATGTTTCATAAAATAAAAGTAAAATAATTGAAAGTGTGGAGAAAATCACATTATGAAATAAACGTTTTTCTCCAAACACATGTTGGCCACAATTATTGGCATCCCTATAATCTTTTATGAGTAAAATATCTCTGAAGTATATTCCCATTAATATTTACCTTTTTTTTAGCACACCAGTGTGACTAGGAACATGCAATTGTCTAGCTATGACTTCTGGTTTCATGGGAGTTTAAATATGAGGAAACACAAAGGCCAAATTCCCTTAATCATTCATCACAATGAGTAAAACCAAAGAATATAGTTCTGATGTTCATCAAAAGATTGTTGAGCATCACAAAATAGAAAGTGGCTGTAAGAAAATAGCTAAAGAATTGAAAATCCCCATTTTGAGCATCAGGGCAATAATTAAGAAGTTCCAATCAACTAAAGATGTTACGAATCTGCCAGGAAGAGGATGTGTGTCTATATTGTCTTAATGCACAGTACAGTGAGGAGGAGAGTTCACAGAAGGATCACAGATGGAGAATTGCAGAGATGAGTTGAATCTTGGGGTCAGAAAGCCCAATTATTATTATTTTTTAAATCAAACAACCCCTACATCCCCACATGTTGTTTGGGAGGGTTTTAAGAAAATTCCTCCTCGCTCATCCAAAAACAAACTCCAGCAAATTCAGTTGTCAGACACGACTGGAACTTTAAACGGGACAGGGTTCTATGGTCAGTTGAAACTAAAAAAATAGCTTTTTGGCAGCAAACCCATCTGAACCCATCATAAAAAGTACCCCATGCCCACAGTTAAATATAATATCTTATATATTATTACTCTTGTCAGGTGTTCTCCAAACTCATCAGGCATTGTAGGAGAAAACTCAGATGTTATCTTGGCAAAAGGAGATTGCAAAAAGTATTTAATAAAAGGGTGCCAATAATTATGGCCAACGTGTTTTGGAGAAAAGCATTTATTTCATAATGTTATTTACCAATTTCAATTCATTTACTTCAATGAAAGGTTAGAATTTTGGAATTGTTTTGAATAAAAGATCAAAAGGATAAACAATGCAGATTTATTTTTACAACCATCTTTGATCATATTTACCAGGGGTGCCATTAATTCTGACCACATGTACTGTGTGAACTGATATCGCAATTTATTTTACAAAAATAATTTCCAGAGATTAAACAATTAGGTATATACACTCACCTAAAGGATTATTAGGAACACCATACTAATACTGTGTTTGACCCCCTTTAGCCTTCAGAACTGCCTTAATTCTACGTGGCATTGATTCAACAAGGTGCTGAAAGCATTCTTTAGAAATGTTGGCCTATATTGATAGGATAGCATCTTGCAGTTGATGGAGATTTGTGGGATGCACATCCAGGGCACGAAGCTCCCGTTCCACCACATCCCAAAGATGCTCTATTGGGTTGAGATATGGTGACTGTGGGGGCCATTTTAGTACAGTGAACTCATTGTCATGTTCAAGAAACCAATTTGAAATGATTCGAGCTTTGTGACATGGTGCATTATCCTGCTGGAAGTAGCCATCAGAGGATGGGTACATGGTGGCCATAAAGGGATGGACATGGTCAGAAACAATGCTCAGGTAGGCCGTGGCATTTAAACGATGCCCAATTGGCACTAAGGGGCCTAAAGTGTGCCAAGAAAACATCCCCCACACCATTACACCACCACCATCAGCCTGCACAGTGGTAACAAGGCATGATGGATCCATGTTCTCATTCTGTTTATGCCACATTCTGACTCTAACATCTGAATGTCTCAACAGAAATCGAGACTCATCAGACCAGGCAACATTTTTCCAGTCTTCAACTGTCCAATTTTGGTGAGCTCTTGCCAATTGTAGCCTCTTTTTCCTATATGTAGTGGAGATGAGTGGTACCCGGTGGAGTCTTCTGCTGTTGTAGCCCATCCGCCTCAAGGTTGTGCGTGTTGTGGCTTCACAAATGCTTTGCTGCATACCTCGGTTGTAACGAGTGGTTATTTCAGTCAAAGTTGCTGTTCTATCAGCTTGAATCAGTCGGCCCATTCTCCTCTGACCTCTAGCATCAACAAGGCATTTTCGCCCACAGGACTGCTGCATACTGGATGTTTTTCCCTTCCCTTTTCACACCATTCTTTGTAAACCCTAGAAATGGTTGTGCGTGAAAATCCCAGAAACTGAGCAGATTGTGAAATACTCAGACCGGCCCGTCTGGCACCAACAACCATGCCACGCTCAAAATTGCTTAAATCACCTTTCTTTCCCATTCTGACATTCAGTTTGGAGTTCAGGAGATTGTCTTGACCAGGACCACACCCCTAAATGCATTGAAGCAACTGCCATGTGATTGGTTGATTAGATAATTGCATTAATGAGAAATTGAACAGGTGTTCCTAATAATCCTTTAGGTGAGTGTATATATATATATATAAATGATCAAATATATATACACATAGGTCTATGTGTGAACTGATATCACAATTTATTTTACAAAAAAGTTAAACAATTATATACCTAATTGTTTATCAGTTCACACAATAGATATAAGAAGACATCAGCCACACCACAAGCCACTTCCTTTAACTGTTAGACTGGTCAGGTGATTAAAATGTGACAGTAATGCAGATTTTTCACGACACATGTAATGTATATTGTTTGTCTCTGTTGTTAAAATAAATTTAAAAAAAATTCTGATTATTGTGATTCATCAGATTTTTAGTTTTAGTCAAGATCAACAACTTAAAGATCTCCCTAAAATTATTTATATCATGTATTTTTTATTGTCATTTTTATTGAATGCTCTATAGAATCATCAGTGTAAGTATCTGCGATGGTATGCTTTTAAATGAAAGTAATTGGCAATACTAGTGTGGCTGTGTGTGAGACCATTTGCATAATGTTGCTGCAGGCAAAGTGCCTTATCAGTGATATATGATACATATTACTCACAAACAGATTACTTTTTCAAGTAACTAGTAAAGTAACGCATTACTTTTAAAATTTAAAAGCAAAATATCTGAGATACTTTTTCAAATAAGTAATGTAAGCTACTTTGTTTTCCCATTTATTGACTGACAGCTCTCATCTCCATGTTGAGACAAATCGAAGTGCAGAGGCGTTGTGTGTAAACATGATGGTTGTTGTAGTTCTAGACTAAATGTGAGCGTGCATTTATCTCACTTGCACAAAAAAAGATTCAATATTTCTCAAAATGAATAAAATCAGTGAAATGCAGAATCAGAATAGGCTACTATGCAAACCTCCAATGACTAAATATGTTAAATAAAACATGATTTTTTATGCATTTAATCTCACTTTATTGACCAATGTACTTGCTTCTGACCTTCGATGATTCAGTTAAACCATGAGCAAAAATTACAATAGATTTTTTTGTTTATAGGTAAAGTAAGTGTTAAACTTTTTTCTCCTGCATCCTATTCTCCCGTTATCCAGAACGGCAGCACACCTGACAGGTTTGCTTGAGCTGCGCCCTCTACTGTACAACCGTGAATTTGCATTTCCTTCCGCCTGAGGCTTATTGTTTCACTTTTGGTGTTAATGGGTCTTTACATTGACCCAAAAATATAACTTTTTTGTTATAAAAAAAAAAAAACAGACTAGGTGAGAAAAAGTAACGCAAAAGTAACATAACGCATTACTTTTCTAAAAAGTAATTAGTTACTTTTTAAGGGAGTAACGCAATATTGTAATGCATTACTTTTCAAAGTAACTTTCCCCAACACTACTCACAAATACATGTGATTTCAATGTACTGTAGTAAGTAAAACTCTAAATTTAAAGGAAAAATGCTCAATTTAACTGACATTAAAGACTGTGACTTGTCTTCAGAACAGAACCCAGGTTCCCATTTGACATTGTTTCTATGCACTATTATTTTATTTTTACTGTTAGTTTTATCTCCTCCTGATCTATGTGGATGTTTATGTACATACGTTTTCTGTAAAACACTGTTTTAAAGGATTTACTTTTTTAGAGGTAGTTTTGGAACCTTCTATTGTGTAGCTAAGAAGGTGTGTACACGTGCAATGAACAGTTTAATTAATGTTTCGTGCATCTAATTTAAATTAAAGGCATCCATTAAACTAAACAGACATTAGAGATCTTAATAAAGATCTTTTTTTGTTTATGAAGTTTTCCCACATTAGGCATTCTGCATCTACTTTTTTTCAATTAAATATACCACCTTTTTTGTATAACATTTACAAATGTTGCAGATTCATATCTTTTGAAAGTTTCAAAAGTCTAAAGGTATTCAGCAAACTAAACATAGGGTACTTCTGCATAAGGAAACTATTAAAAATGTATTACACCCACAAAAAATGTCAATGAAATAAATAAATCAGCAAAACATTTTGATCATCAAGAAGAAAGTTTTTATTGCACTGGCAGCAAAGATTCACTTATTGCAATCTATTTCAAGACTGATGCTACATTCAAAAATAGAATCTACTTCACAAACATACACTCACTCAGATATGCAGATCATCTCTGTAACATCAGACAAATATTCATCTGTTTTAAAAGCTGATAAGTTGACTTTAGTTTCAAACATTGTATTGCAATTTGCTCTGAGCTCCATTGGTATAGTAACAGACTGAAGGGAGACTAGAGAAGCAGGCCAGGCTACTGGTATTTGTGCTGTTATAGATACAACATTTTTACTTCTTTCCCTTGGGTTTCTCAGTCTCCTCTTTTCCCTTTTCCTGCTTCACACTTTCCTTTTTCTCACTCTTGCCTTTCTCACCATCGTCTTTTACCTTAGGCTTTTCTGACTCTACCTTTTCTTTTGCTTTTGGTTTCTCAGGCTCTTCCTTGCCTTTATCCTTTGACTCAGGTTCAGGTGCAGGTTCAGTCTTCTCTTTGGCTTTCTCTTTGGCTGGTTCAGGTTCTACTTCCTCTTTGGCTTTTTCAGCCTTAGGCTCAATTTTTTCCTTCTCTACCTTGTCTTTTTCTGTCTTAGTGTCTTCCTTGTCTGTCTCAGTCTCCTCTGTGGCCTTATCAGCACTTGTGTCAGCTTTCTCCTCACTTTTCTCTGTCTCAGTATCCTCCTGTGCAGCCACTTCCTCCTCCTCAGCTTTCTCTCCCTCTTTCTGCTCACCCTCTTCCCCGTCTCCCTCTTTTTCGTCACCTTCTTCCCCTTTAGCATCTTCCTTTTCTTCCTCTACCACATCCCCCTTTTCTTCTTCCTCTGCTGCAGCCTCGCCTTCCTCTTCCTGTTCAACGCCTGTTTAAAACAGTAATTTAGTTATGCACTTCTTGTCAACATTTTGAATAATAAAATATTTGTATTTATAATCTTGCATCTGAATCTTACCTTCCGCTTCCTCCTTTGTTTCGTCTTCCTCTTCCGCTTCCTCTTCCTTTACTTCCTCCTTTTCTTCTTCCTCTTTCTCCTCTTCTTCTTCTTCCTGGGTTGGACTGGCTGCAGATTCTTGAGCTTGACTGGATGTGATGACCTCATCAGCTGAGAGGGAGGCACTGATCAGGCGAGAACTAAGCATGTAGGGGGCTCCAGAGCTCATGCTGGACATTGAGAACATGGGCCGGGAGTAGACAGGACCAACCGAGTAAGCACCGACCATACCTCCCACACCCACATTGAAGCGAGACTCCTCCCCCTCAAGCAACTTCCTGCAAAAGATTACGTGACAAATCAGAAGAATCGAATCGAAATGAATCGAAATGACTGATGTCATGTTAGCAATCATACCTGTAAGCAGCTATCTCAATATCAAGGGCCATCTTGACATTGAGAAGATCTTGGTACTCTTTAAGGTATCTCGCCATTTCACCCTTAGTGGCTCGAAGTTCATCCTCAAGATCACTGATTGAATCCTGCAGGAAAGGATGGATGTTAAAATTATGGTTTGAGAGCACAAGATAACTAAAATAGAGGTTTCTAGAACTAACCTGCATGGCAGCAACCTCTGAGCTCTGCTTGTCCTCCACCTCCCTGAGCTGCCTCTCCAGAGACTCATTCAGGCCCTTGCAGGCATCGATCTCAAGGACACATGCCTGCAGCTGGCGGCGATACTCTCCTGCTTCATCCTTGGAGTTCCTCATTGCGTCACTGTGGTGCGCCACGCTCTCCGTCAGGTGGCCCATCTTCCCGCGGAACCATTCTTCAGCTGAATGGATGTTCTTGGCTGCCAGCTTCTCATACTGGGCTCTGATGTCCCGCAGGGCGCTGGACAAATCGGGCTTGGCGGTCTCCGCTTCGACGGCGATCTGAGCTCCATACTGAATCTGGGCCTGCAGCTCTGAGATCTCACCCTCATGGACCTTCTTCAGGAACCCCAGCTCATTTAGCAATATATCAACCTTTTTCTCCAGCTCCACCTGGGCCAGAGTGCTGTCGTCGGCCTCCTTGCGTGCCTCCAGAAGCCTGCCTTCGCTGTCCTCACGGGCAACCACCTCTTCCTCGTAGCTGGCCTGCAGGCCCCTCAAGGCATCTTCCATGCTCTCACGGTGGCTCAGCGCGGCCTGCCTCTCCATGCGGGCCTCCTCGACGGCGGTTCTCAGAGAGCGGACCTCCTGCTCGTACAGGCCCCTCAGGCGGGACGGCTCCACGTGCCTCTGCCTCAGCATTAGCAGCTCAGTCTCCAGGGCACGGTTCTGCTGCTCTAGTTCATGGACACGCTCAATGTAACCGGCAAAGCGGTCATTGAGCTCTTGCATCTGGGCCTTCTCCTGAGTTCGCACTGTCCGGAATTCGGAGCTTACCTGGGCAGCGTGGCTGATGTCCATTTCCACGGAGCGGCCAGCGCTGCTCAGCAGGAGACCGGCGGAGCTCCGTCCGGGGGAGGCATAGTGGAGGCGAGAGGAGAGAGAAGGGGTATGGGTGGAGAACGTGGTGCGAGAACGACCACGCTGAGAGACCCGGGGGCTGCTCTCCACATACCAGCGCTTGTAAGAGGACGAGAAGTAGGGGTCAAACCCGACGGCACTCATGGCTCCAAGGACAAGCTGCTCTGTGCCTCTCGGTACCACAGTCAGCTCGAACTGCCTTCAAACACTGATCTGCTGCTCCTACCGCAGTCAGTGCAGCTTATATAGCCAGAAAGAAGCTCTGACGCAAGTGATTTTCTAAACTCTGACAATGCAGTATCAATAGCAGCGTTAGAGAGAGAGACAGAGAGAGGGAGAGAGCTATGCGCAGTTGTGTGCAAGTACGAGTGTAACACGATTTTGTTAATAAATTGAGGTTTTTGCTCTGAAATTATCATACATTTTCATAATTATATGTTTAAGTTCACTCTGTGACTGCCACCAAGGTCAAGAGGCTAAAATTAAGCCAATTAGTATTTGCATTGTGCATCGTCACATTATTTTAACATAATTTAATTATGAAACATAGAGGTTAAAAATATATACATACAGCACATGGTTTCCACTGCAGATATAGAGATGAAAGCAGGAGGCAGGAGGAAGAGAGGAAAGGGGAGGGAGGGAGGGGGGGTCAGGAAAAGAAGTGAGGAATGGTTACAGCTCTATTTTCAGTGCTTTACCTGTGGAAACACACCATCGCCTCTGCTGGATTTGAGAGGTATTACACACAATAAAAAAGAAGTCAATGTTTTTACTTATGCAGACTCAATTGTTTTTTAAATGGCAGTTAAGATCATGGAATGTTTTATTATAAACATACACACGTATGTAAACATTGCATGAACATACATTCATTTATTTAATTAAAATGTAATTCCAAAGCTGAATTACAACAATTTAAAAAGATGTGTTAAAGATATGTTTATGCAGGGTTTATATAATATTGATAATATCACACATAAACAATTGTGTGTAGCCTATATAATATATATATATATATATATATATATATAATCTTTTTTTTTCATTATTCTTCTTCATTATTACTAGTTAACATTACTTAAATCATCAGGGGGTATTTCAAGTAAAACATACTTTAAGCCATAGAAAAAGCTTGGAAACTCCTGCTGTACTGTACATTATGGAGCCTCCACATGCTCTCTCTCTACATTTCAGCTACAGCCTTTACTGATGGCCTCTTACTAGCCTCTGAGATCTAGGCTGACTCTGATCTTTGCACTTTTACTCCACACCTCTCAGTTTAAAAGTCATGTTGCTATTTCGAATCCTTTCATGACCTCTGCCCTTCGAGCAGTAGATAGATATCCGGTCCGCCCCCTTACACATAAGAGTCAATAGGAATGTTCAACTGTCATTCTGAAAGTGAAACATTGTGATTGGTTCAAAGCAGGAGAGATATTACATTCATGACGGGCCACACACCAGACTGCTATAAAAAGAGAATAGCACAGGCACGCAGGGCTCACTGTCTGTCACAGAGTGTGTGCACAACAGCAAGGAGGGCTGTGTTTGGTGGGCTTAGTCTGAAAAATACTGTAGTAAAACACAAATTCTTTCAAAATGGCTGCTGCTCATCGTCTAGTGATTGTACGCCACGGCGAGAGCTCCTGGAACCAGGAGAACCGTTTCTGTGGCTGGTTTGATGCAGACCTCAGTGAAAAGGGTCTGGAGGAAGCAAAGCGTGGTGCTCAGGCCATCAAAGATGCAGGCATGAAGTTTGATGTGTGCTACACCTCCGTTCTGAAGCGTGCTATCAAGACTCTTTGGACCATCATGGAGATCACAGACCAGATGTGGCTGCCTGTAGTACGCACCTGGCGTCTGAATGAACGTCACTATGGTGGTCTGACTGGTCTGAACAAGGCAGAGACAGCAGCCAAGCACGGAGAGGAGCAGGTCAAGATTTGGCGCAGATCATTCGATATTCCCCCTCCTCCTATGGATAAGGACCATTCATACCACAAGATCATCAGTGAGGTAAGACAAAGGAATCAGATTATATATATATATATATATATATAGCCTATATATATATATATATATATATATATATATATATAGACAATTAAAATTCATATTGAATAGTAACACTATATTTTATAATTTACATATAAGCCGCTTTATATATATATAGGAAATGTATATACTTATACATATATGTATATATAATAGGTCTCTTTAACTCATAAAGGCATATGTTATATTCATTAATGCATTTGAAACTTTGCTTGTACGTCACTTATGTAAACACCTATGAGGGGATGACTGCAGGTTTAATGATGTTCCATTCCTCTTTTTTACCAGTCAAGGCGCTACAAGGGTCTGAAAGAGGGTGAGCTTCCCATCTGTGAGAGCTTGAAGGACACCATTGCTCGTGCACTGCCTTTCTGGAATGAGGTTATTGTACCTGAGATCAAGGCCGGCAAAAATGTCATAATCGCAGCCCACGGGAACAGCCTGCGTGGTATCGTCAAGCACTTAGAAGGTGAGTATCATCCACCAAGCATTTAGTTAAAAGACTATTCAGGGACTCAAGCGGGTGAGTGATGTGTTATATAATAGAACTGCATGTTAGCTAAGCATGTCAATGAACAAGACAGGAACAAGTATATCTAGCATTCAGACATAGAACGTGTCTGACCACCAGGCTTCAATGATCCCCAATGACACAGAGACTATTTATAGCCCTCATTCATACATAGAAGAGATGAGAAGGGAGTTAGGTTCCTGTTACAGGCACAACCTTTTAGCAGAAAGGTTCTGCATTCTCCCTAGAGTGCTAGAGAGAGATGCACTTTAGAAAGTAAAGGTCACAGAGGTCAGGAAAAGTCAAGGCTTAGAAAACTTCAAGGACTATATTTGACAAGATCTTCACCTGTGTCTACAGGCATGTCAGATGCAGCCATCATGGAGCTCAACCTTCCCACTGGCATTCCCATCGTCTACGAACTGGATAAGGACCTGAAGCCCATCAAACCCATGCAGTTCCTGGGAGACGAGGAAACCGTGCGCAAAGCCATGGAGGCAGTGGCCGCGCAGGGCAAGGTCAAAAAGTGAAGAGCCGACACAAAACCAGAGACTGAAACACTCCAAAACACAAAGGAAAGGAGCGCACTATTGGATCCAAGCCTGTTTGACGACCACCGACTGAATAAAAGTGAACACATGACATGGACATGACTGTCACCCCTCCCCACCCCAAACATTCTCACATTACATCACGACTTGTAAACCCCCTTGTGTTGGACTGCCCCACTCTGACACAGCAAATAAACGTGAGCACCATTTTGTGTACCTCCATTTTCGCTTGAGTCATTCCTCCCACTCTTCTTCCCTCTCTGCATTAATTCAGGGATTTCAGCAGAACGGTACGCTGCTGTGTAAGCTGACCCAAAGGGCACACCAAAGAGGTTGCTGAGTTCATTTTGGCAGCCGTCCCGCACTGTGGTGCAGTGGCGGCTCATCTAGCCATAGTTCTCAATGAGAGCCCGCTGCACAGACGGCCCATAATGGCTACGGCAATCCTGCCAGCACCACAATTAGCAGCAGCTCCGGTTCTCCGGTGACAAAAGGACAGGGGTGTGTGTGGATGTGCATGTGTGATGGTCTGTGATTGGAAAAGGACGAAGCCAACTACACGGTCTCAGTACCCCAAAATTGCTCAGGGACTTGTTCATTATGTAGGAAGACTAATTTTAGGATGAACCTTCAGCACTGACAGCATGGAGTAAGCTATAGCATAACTATCTCTCAAAAAATAAAAACTTATATTACTAAATATATTACTTAAAAAAATACACAAAGTAGGCTAATATTCAAATTTACCAAAGGAGTAGTATCCTGTGAGTGTGTGTATCCCGTATTTACATTTATTTAACCTGGCTTCGATATTTGTGTTGGTTATTATTGCTGGTTTGATCGATCATGTTGCCATGTTGTTCAGCAATTAAAAATGGTCTTTCTAAATAAGCTGGGTGCCCAACTAAGAAGTCTTGAAGCGTCACTAACACATAGCAAGTATTTCTAAACACAAATGAGGATATGTGATAAGACACAAATGAGCTATCAGTGAGCCATCAAACTTTTAAATGCATATTTAGCACTTAGTGCCATAAAGGGCAAAGTATAAAGAGAGCAAATACTACTCTGTTAAACAGTGACATGGTGCAATGACACATTTTTTGAGTATGGGTAAGAGTCCGCTTTACTAAATCAACCCAATACTGCCATCTAATGTTTAACATGTAGTATTGCACAATATTCTGGACTGCCATAGACACTACAGACAAAGTAGCCTACGGAAAGTAAGTTCATTCTAATTTTTATTTTAAACATTTTATTCCAAAGTCTGGGTTTATAGAGAGGGCAGTTACACTACTATTTACACTACAGCTCAAACAAACACTGGCAAACGGTGGTCAATTGGCAAGCAACAAGAAGTGGCAACTAGGCCTACCCAAATACAATAAATGTCCACTTTCTACGATCATCTTTAAAAATAAACCTCTTATTTAAGTTTATAGGCTTGAGTCTTACGAAATTTGTTAGGCCAAATAATGTGTGTGATTTGTTAAGTAGGCTAATCCAACACAGTGAGGATGTTTTCGTAGGTTATTGTTTGCATAGAAAACCACAACAGTTCTAACTTCCTCTTGATAAGTTCTTACTTCCAGTCAGTTCTGGCCAAAATATCTTACCGTTCTTGATAGGGGGAGTCATTCATGTTCAGGACATGAATTCTCTCCTCAGGCACAGAGAGAATTCCTGCTCTGTGGGTCAGGCTGACTGACTTCAGGAGTGGTGAGGTGTTTCTACATGCTCCTCTGCTGAGCTGATTCTTGGAACTCATTCGCTCTGTCCTTTGTCAAAGACAGATAGGCTATATATCAAAAACAAAACAAAAATATTGAGAAAAATAACTATTAAAAGGTGCAGTAAGCACAATATTTTTAGAATACCACACATAACTTGTCCAACTTGACACTAAAGTGATTAGTATAGGCTCAGTAAACAGCAAAAATAAATAAATAAAACAAAAAAACTCGCCACTTTTTAACCAATCATAAAATGCTATTTTCCTGTCAATCATTTTGCATCAGACTGCTTAGGTGGGGTGAAGGTATTGGTGTCAGTTTCGGTGACAGTCTATTAGCAAAACTGTTAAAATCATTATGCTTTTCTAAATGCTGAGTGGACGTTTTCTCCGCAATGAATGTGGTGGTTATGGCC